CAGAAACTGAAGCATGTTTCTCTGTTTGTATAAGTTCTTATTGGTCCCTTCTACAGTGACTCACTGGCTCATCCTTTGGCTGAGAGACTGCTGGCAACCTACCATACAGTTAGGACTCTGGAACCTGACCTCTGCTCATCGGGCGGAGCTGAGGAGACTACAGAAAATACCTTTTATAGCATAATTCTTTGACAAAGGATTTTCCCCCTAAAATGTATACCTGATACATTTTAGTACCTGTGGATCTCTTGATTTTTAAATTATAAACTGTTTAGTTAGCCAAGAGGAGTTTAGATCAGAGAGCAAGACCATCCACAAACTATTCTAACTAGGAACCTGTACACCTATCCTCATCTTTAATTTCTTCCTCTCCATCTACATGCAATTAGTCCCTCAAGTCTGAAATGACTTTCAAAAACGTCCCATTCTCTTATGCTGGCTTAGTTTGGAACGCTGTGTTTCCATCATTGCTAAGAGCCTTTTAACTGACTTCCCAGTCTAAGTCTCCCTCTCTCCAGTATGCCATCGTAGGTTTATAGTTGTGAGTACTCAAAACAGAGTTTGTTCTTGTATTATTATTTATTAATTACTGTATTATTTTCCATACGAACAGCTGTAAGCCTACTTTTGCCCACCATGTATGGCACCCTTTCCTTTGAAATCTCAGCAGTGTCTCTACACAATCTATGGCATTAAGTCCGCACAGCTCTTAAGTTTGGTTCCAACCTATTTCCACTCTCCTCTCAGTCTCATCATCCATCAGGCTTCCTTTCCAGGCAGCCTACACTGTGCAAGGAAGGAAGGTTTTCTACAATCTTATGAATCCCAGGAAGTGACATAAGCCTCAAAACTGTTGCCAAAAATTATTTCCTAAGGTTCAATCTGATTATACCATTTCTTGGCTTAAAACACACAGCTTTCATTGCTGTGCTGAGAAAGATAATGTTCAATTTTATTTTAACCTAGCCACTAAGTCCCTTTGAGACTGGACACTTAGCCTATCCATCCCAGTTCCCATTAAAGCACTCACGCATTATATAGCCTCGTGGGTTGCTCCTTGCTCAACCTCTTCTCTCTGACAACCACCCATCAACTTTGCCAAACCATACTTATCTTTGAGAACCAGTGCAAGTATATCTTTACCGCTGAAGACTTCTACATCTTCCCAGCTAGAAGTGAGTACCCAGTCTCTGAACTCCAACAACACTGTATCCTACATAGTGCTAATCCTCTAACACCTGTACTAGACCAATGATTCTCAATGCTGGCTGTTCCTTAGAATCAGTTTAGAAGCTTTTTAAAAATACTGGTAACCAGACCCCACCACAGGGCAATTAAATCAGAAATGCTGACAGTGCAGCCTAAGTATTATCTTATTGTCAAAACTCCCCAGAAGATTGTGAAATGAAGCCAGAGTATGGAACCACCATGTAAAAGTAACTGGGATAGTCTATCTTCTCTAATAGAATGTAAAGGCCTTGATTTCTCCTCATAATCATATTACCAAACCACAGTAACTGCTAAGCAAATGTTAGAAAGGGGAAAGAAAGAGGAACAAAGGAATAGGTGATTTCATACTACTTAAAAATTTGATAACTAAACTATTGGAAGCCTTGTTTTAATTCCTGGAAGGAATGATGAGAGTGCTATTCTTTATTTCACCTGCCTTGAAAAAAAATTCTCAGCTACAGTAAAAAAGGCAAAACCTTGTTACTAATGAAGGAGTCACTTTATATTGGGGGAATAGAATACTTTCCATCATTCAGAAATCATATATTTATCCCATGAGGTACTATTCTAGGAAACTTGAGACTCTAAAATGTCCAACGTAAAATACATTCTAGTGGGATGCAATGAGAGGGATCTCTATCAATCACAGGTAAGAAGAAAGAGAGGAAGTCAGAAACAAATTCTGAAAAAGAATTTTAAGTAAGTTCCTAGCTACCTACACAATGGTGGAAGAAGCGTAAGATGCAATTTAGAAAAAAAAAATCATGCTTACATTTCTGAATCACAAACTAAAAATATGAGGAATGCAACAGTAAACTTGTAGAAATGTAAGAATAATCCTGATGAAAGGAAAGGCAAAGTTTTATGTGTTTAGTTTTCAACTAGTGAAGGGTTAGGAAAGTTCTAAAGCTTTCTGAAACCTATCCGGAAAAAAGCTTAACTGAAATGATGGATTGATATTCATTTTTAAAAATAACTGATTAAGATATAATTCACATATTATAAAATTCACCCTTTTAAAGTGTACGATTCAGTGGTTTTTATAGTACAGCAATAATCACCACTATCTAACTTCAAAACATTTTCATCACCCTAAAGGAAACCACACTGCCTATTAGCAGCCACTCCTCAACTCCTCTTCCCTGCCCTAGGCAACCACTGTCTGCTTCATGTCTCTATGTATCTGCCTATTCTGGAAATTTCATCTAAAAGGAATTATATAATATGTGGTCTTTGTGTCTACTTCTTTCACTTATCATGTTTCCAATTTTAGTTTTTATACTGTTAACTAATAGTCCATTGTATGGATATACCACATTATTTATAGTCAGTTGTCCTATATAATAAAAGCCCAGAGACTGAATGGCCGAATGACCAGAACAACCGGTCAACCGGTTGCTATGATGCGCACTGACCACCAGGGGGGCAGACACTCAACACAGGAGCTGCCCCCTGGTGGTCAGTGTGCTCCCACAGTGGGCCAATCCCCAAGGCCACACCCTCCACCTGTGCACGAATCCTGTGCACGGGGCCTCTAGTTTAGTAATAATTTATTAAGGCATACTGTTTTAGACATTGGAATCTAAAGATGAAAAAATCCTTGTTTATAAGAAATTCAAGAAGTTTCAAGAAGTGGGAAATGGATAAAGAGAATAGTATATTGATGGCAGAATGGAACCAATAGAATATAGGCTTCAGAATGGAAAATGGAGCTGGGAAAGCCAGGCAGGGGCCAGACTATGAAAGGTGTGACGGGCCTTGGCGCCATGAAGTTCCAAGCACCAGACAACCTTTCCTTTAGGAATAACCTTCCCACCATTTACTTCCTTTTTCTCTCATCTTCCAACACCTACATAAAGAAACCCAAACCCATAAACATCCACACCATCTCAACTAATTCAATTACAATGTCATTCTTCAAAGCCCCTTCCATAAAGCATTCTCTGATCATCCTGTCAGTAAGTAATCTTTCTCTTTATACCTTTTCCATAGCACTTAGTCATATACTGATGTATGCTAATACAACTGCAATCTTCCTGACTGGTGTGTACTCTACTTAAGGGTAAAGGTGGTACCAGATATTTCTGAAATCCAAGCAGTGTAATTGTTGAAGGAATAAATGAAAAAATATATATAATAGCTTTGGTTGATAGCAGGTATCTAGGAAGATGTGAACACAGAAAGAGCCAGTTTCAGTGAAGAGATGTGAGTATGGAAGTAAAAATATGGGACAAGGAGGACAGAAGAAGCACAGCCTGGAAAAAGTACAGACGAGAAAGGTCACAGGCAACTGGAAGAGAAGAGATAAACCGGGGTGATAATAACTACTAAGTGCCTGCCATCTGCCAGACAAAATACCAGTGTTTTATCACATTTAACTTTCTCAATCCTATGAGGTAGGTATTATTAGCCTCATTTGACAGAAAAAGAAATAAGCCTGAAGAAGGTAACAAAGAGGCAGAAGTAGGATTCTACAACCTAATTGCAAAGGACTTGTGCATTCTAATCGGCCACACTACCACCCTACTTCTATAACTGTATTTAGGATTGCACACATGAGCAAAACTGTTGTTTTTATTTCTGACATAAAAATGCACAAGGATGTAGTTGACTAATTATATCCCGCAATCCACTAAACCAAGTCATACCATCAATAAACCCCATAGCCCAAAGTGATTAAAATTGGATACTTAATCATTTTTCTTTAAAAAGAAGTATCTACAGCCACGGCCAGTGTGGCTCAGTTGGTTGGGCGTTGTTCCCAGCACCAAACGATGCCAATTTGATTCCCAGTCAGGGCACATGCCCGGGTTGCAGATTTGTTCCCTGGGGGCGGGGGGGGGGGAGGAGGGGGCAGGGCATGCTGGAGGCAGCCAATCAATGTTGTGCTCTAACTACATTTCTCTCCCTTCCTCTCTCTAAAAATTAATAAACATTCTTTAAAAAAAAAAAGAAATATCCACATAAATTTCCTCATCTTGTGGCCGGCAAAGGAGAATTATTTTGGAAATTATGTAAGGTTCGCTTTGGATATGAATAGAACTTTCCAAAATTTATTAATCTAAGAAGCAACTTTCTTTATTCACTCCAAGGCTGACTCAAAAATTGTCCTGAAACTGAGAGGGGCATTTTAACACAGCATAACAACTAAAGGCAAAGGTCAGCAACAGTTAAATTCAACATGACCTCAACTGATAAAAACATTACCTTTTATAATATCTGAAATTAGTAGAAAATATTTATATGAGGATTTTTCGTAACACTCTATCAACTATAGTTTATCATGAAATTTATCAATGCATACCATATGTTACCAATAGCAATATTATTAGTTAGTAAGTGAAATACTGTTTTAGTAATAGCATTGTGGTTGGGGTAGGGGGTTTACTATTTGTATTTAATAATCACAAACAGGAAAAAAGAAAGCGTATCTCAAAAGCCTGTCTTTCTATCTAAAATAGCAAATGAAGCCTCTGTGTTGTAAAACAAATACACAAGCACAAGCAGGGTTGGTATATCTACTCAATTAAAAAGTGCACCCAAATCTATGTTACTTGAAGCAAAAGTTGCAGCAGGCAAAAGAGCTCCTCAAACAATGGTTTCTTGCTTTTCAGAGCTAATGTAAATGATATCAAATACTTTTGAACAACTTTTACAAATTATAATGTCTATGTTGAAAGGTATGTTTTTAAAAAACAAACATGGTGCTAAAAATCTTTGAAATTACAGACAACGGAGCTATTTCTGCCTGCCTACACTTGGGAACTCACCACATGTTCAACACTTTCTGGCAGCTATACACACACATAAAAAAAAAAAATACAAGGAAAAAAGAGAGAGAAAGATCATCAGAAACAGCCCACATTGAAATTATCACATTGTTTTTCATGCTTAATTTTTTCCCCAAGCAGCATTATAATTTAAACTCACAAAAAAATAAATTAAAACTAATATCAATGCATGCAGCATACTATAAAATTTTAAAATTTTTATTCTTATGCTTAAATAAAAATGAGAATCTATAATATAGCAATAATTTTCATGCATCAGCACTCGTAAAAATATGCTATTGATTATAAATAAGAATTTGAGCATAGTTCTTAAATAACTATTTTGTATTATTAAAATACTTACTGAAATAGTACAATTCTAAAGTGATTAAAATAAACATATCACTTATTTTATAGGCACCTATTCCTTGAAAAAATATTCCTGAAATAATTGTACATGACTATCAATGTCAGACATGCATAGTTTTAGAACAAAAAGTTACTTAAACAAGCAAAACAAACACATACTTGGTTTCATCCATCACTTCTACTTCCGTAGGGGCTGTGATGGGTGCATTTGAACGTCCTGCAGTAGGGTCATCTGTGTTTAACTCTCCATTTGTAGAACTTACAACCTGCAAAAACAAACAAAACAAAATTATATATGCGCAAAGTAATAGGTTATACAATGATAAATATAATTATGCTTAAAATACTCAAATTAGAAAGTTAATATGAGGAACATAAAACAATATGTAGTTGTTCATAACTGAACACAGTAATAGGCCTAGTATTTTTTAAAGGTCAAGGTTTTCCAATATTTGCCTTTCAACTTCTTTTTTATCTTGAAATTTCTGTCTTCTGTCTCCTTCCTTCTGAATCCTACATTTATCTCTTCCTTCTTGTATGCTCACTCTTTGGTACCTTGCTTCATCATGAATTATTTCCCTTGCAAACTTCAATATTGCTTCTTTCAATAACTCCTTCATTTCAATGTAATCATGCAGGAAACATTATGATTCCTCTCTTTAACTGAAAGGCGTATCTAATTCATCAGAAAGTCTTATTGTATCCTCCCCAGAAACACATTCAAAATCTATTCAGTTCTCCCCCCTTTATTACTAAGACTTCAGTCCAAGCCACAATATCTCTTGTGTGAATAAGGGCAGAAACCTATTAGCCAGTCTTCTGCTTTTACTTCTATCCCCTCCCCCATTAATGTATTTTCCACACAAAAGCCAAAATGTACCTTTTAAGATGTAAATTAGGTCATGTACAATTACCTGCTTAATATTCTTTAAGCACCTGACATCCCACTTCATTTAGAATAAAGATCCATATTCTTTACATCAATTTACATAGCCCTATAATAAAAGATATGAACCATGCCTACCTCTGATAGCATACCACTTTCCCCTTTGCTCAATAGCCTCCATCTAATATTGTCAAGCTTATTCCTACTTTAAGGCCTGGGCATTATCTGTTCTCACTGCCTAAATTCCCTCCCTGGTTACTGGCTATCTTATCTTTTAGATCCTCAGATAATGGCTCTAAAACAGGTCTTTCTATCATACAATCTAAAACTTCCATGCAGACACTCTCTTACATATTATATTCTATTTTTAACTCTCTGTATAACATTTATACATGTTGATGTTTTTCTGATTGATTTTGTTTCTTGACAACCACATCCACCTCCATAAAAATTAAACTCTGTAACAGCAAGAAACCAGTGTTACTTCCTATTATATCTCTTTAATCTACCTGGCATAGAGGAGGCACTCAATAAATATTTGTTGAAATAAATGCAAATCCTAAAATAAGATAAAAACTGTAACAAAACTCCCAAATTTACTTGGTCCTACAAATTCACCATACTGTACTACTTTTTGCCTTCCCCCAAATTTCTTGAAAACAAGTCTTAAATTTCCATTTCCATTTTTAGAAAATTTTCCCTTTCACTCATTCCTTAACTCCTTGCAATATGGATTCCGCCCCTACACCAGAACTCTTAAGAGTTTTCTTGCACAACGATTCCTAGAAAATATATTCAGTGGTCTTTGCTCAATCCTCATTTTCCTGTACATTTTTATCACTTGGCACTAGCTAGACTTTGGAATAAGATGGGTCTAGATTCAAAACCTAGCTCTACCACTTACCAGCTACGTGACCCCTGGGGAAGATATCCTATCTTGCTAAACCTCAGTGTCCTCAACTATGAAATTAGAAACAGTAGTATCTATTTAGCAAGGCAAACTGAGGATGAAATGAAATCAGTATATAAAGTACAGTGACTGGCATGTAGTAGAGCTCAATAATTGGTGGCCATCATAAGTACTGTCAGTTTCACCTATAATGATGGTTTCAACTATCACCTCTATATGAAGGATTCCCTGAGCCTAAAAAAGCTTGCCACTTCAAATTCAGTATTTCCAAAACCAAATTTATCATAATCTCTTGAATTTGCTACTCTTCCTATGTTTCCATCTTCCCAAACCTCCAGGCTCAAAATCTAAGAATCAGCTTTGATGCTTCCCTTACCTGATCTCTTTACGAGAAAAAAAATGTGAACATATCAAAGGCCTGGGTGCCAGAGTTGCAGCTGATGACTAGACTTAAAGTACTTTTTACAGAACCCCATATTTCTGAAATCTAATTCAAAAGTTCTCACTCAGAGGCTACAACATGCCGGCACTGTTCTAAGAAATTGGAATAACATAGTTAACAAAACAGACAAACACCCCAGCTCTTGTGGAACTCATTTTCTAGTGTAAAGAACAGGTCCCTCTCTCCCCAACTTTAAATAACTAGAAATCAACCAATATACCTGGATTAATTCAGGAATTATGGAAGTTCAATTTCCTGTATCCTATGTGGAACATGTACTTAGAAATGAACTCTGCAGCAGCAGTCGCCAACTGGTGGTCCGTGAGGTCCAAAAGGCTGGCGACCGCTGTTTTGCAGCATTTGCATCTACAGCTGCAAACACACAAAACTTGCTTAGTCATCTTTAGAGGCAGCCCAAGGATGGAAAGCCCTATGGGAAAGTCTGCCTGTCTGCTTCTGGGCACCTGCTTCCTCCTTTCTGTCATTCTACTGAGTTCTGTGTTGATTTTTTTTCTCTTTATTTTTCCCTCCTTCTGAAAATATTTTAAAATAATTACTTGCTCTAATTCTCGAGCACAATTTGCTTCTTTATTCTTAATTTTTAGATGTCAGAGCCCCTACACTGAATTGGAAAGGAGCTAGAAAATAGAATTCTTATACTTTTTGGATTCCCTGTATCTTTAACTAGCAGAGTGCCTTGCATGCACTAGATAATCAAGACAGTTCACTAAACAATTTCCATTGCTCTTCCCCTCAACATAATACTCAACAGGTTTATTTTCTTCCTTTCGCTCATGGCCCCACCCCATAACAAAGAAACAGAATTTCTGGAGGATGAGGCCCAGAAATCAGGATTTTAAAAAGATTCCCAGGTGATTCTAATGTGAAGCCAAGGTTGAGAACCACTGCCTTAGAGGGACCCGACCTCAAATTATAAATAGCTCTTCTAACATGCCTTCCCTTACTTTACCAGTAAGCAGCATAATTGAACACTTAAAACTCAGGTGTTCTAAATTTCCAGCAAACAGCAACTACATATGTACTATCTATATATATAAAAGCGAAGTGACCGGAACAGCAGAACGACCAGAACAACAGAAGAGCTGGTCACTATGATGCACACTGCAGTGGCCAACCAGCCTGATGGGGGCCCTGATTGGCTCCCCCAACCTCCCACAGCTCCTCCACCCAGCCAACCCCACCCCTGATCGCCCCCCCACCCCACCCAGGGGCAGGGCCGGCTGGACAACTGCCCACAGCCCCTCCCCCTGGCTGGCCCTGCCCCTGATTGCCCCCCCACCCTGAGCAGGGGCGCAGCTGGCCGGCCAATTGCCTGCGGCCCCTCCCCCAGGCAAGCCCTGCCTCCAATCGGCCCCCCAACCCTGATTAGGGGCAGGACCGGCAAGCCAACCTCCTGTGTCCCCTCCCCTCACCTGTCCGGCCCAAATAGGCCCCCATCGGGGCGGGCTGGCTGGGGCCCACCTGTGCATGAATTCATGCACCAGGCCTCTAGTAATTATATAATCTGATTTGCTTCAGTTCACACAAAGTCATGCCTAACTTTAATAAACTATATTTTACTGAAATGTTTCAAATCCCATTTTACCCGACTAATCAGAACCAGACATAAAGGAAGTAACATCTTCCTTTATGTAATTTTTTAATGTAAATATTCTTGGGCTTCCCAGATACCTTAACCCCCTGAATGAAGGCCACTATCCCAGGGTCAGAACAGAATCAATGTGGTAACAAAGTCCTATAAAATAACACCAGTGACTTGTGAGTGTATCATAGCATCAAAATTGTTTTCACTTAAGAAAACTAGTGATCTTTTGGCAAATGGATTTATGAAAAAGAAACAAAGACAATATTATAAACTAGATACCCAGTGCACAAAATTCGTGCACTCAGAGTGGGGGGTCGCTCAGTCTGGCCTGCACCCTCTTGCAGTCTGGGAGCCCTTAGAGAATGTCTGACTGATGGCTTAGGCCTGCTCCTCCCGCCACTGCCACTGATGAGCCCAGCTTCTGGCTGAGTGGTGCTCCCCATGTGGGAGTGCACTGAACACCAGGGGGAAGCTCCTGCGTTGAGCGTCTGTATGCGTCATAGCAACCGATCATTCCACCGGTCGTTGTGCCATTCGGTCGATTTGCATATTAGGGTTTTATTATATCAGATATAAATTTATTATATCAGATTTATTATATCAGATAATAAAACCCTAATATGCAAATCGACCAAATGGCAAATGACCAGTCACTATGACAAGCACCGAACACCAGGGAACAGGCGCTCAACGCAAGAGCTGCCCCCAGCCCACAGACCCCAGGCCAGCCAAGGCAGGTGCCAGCAGGGGGACCCCCATCACCCTGCCGGTTGCCCCACAGATCAGCCCTGATCGCCCGCCAGACCTAGGGACCCTACCCGTGCTTGAATTTTGTGCACTGGGCCTCTAGTATAGGATAATGTATCATCATATTCCTAGAAACCTAAATAAAACAAGCAATCAAACAAATATATACAAATTATTTTTATAAGCCAAATTCAAAAATATGATTCCAGTTAAGTGACATTTCTAGAATTTTAACTCAAACTAGAACATAAGTCTCTAAAATATTAGTGTTCATCAGGCTGATTTCCTTAATGAAAGTTTGTATAAAAATGACAGAAGCTTTGAGGTTTGACATTTGAAAAAATGATTCAGGTATTTTACAGGGTTTTTTGTTCTTGTTCTCAAATTTTCTCTGATATTCCCACTCTGATAAGAAACTTAGTGCAGTTCTTATTTTAAGAGATTTTTAAAAAAAAAAAGGCAACCAGACTTCCCTTAAACTCTGATGCTACTATTAGAACATCAGAGTTTAAGGGAAGGGGGTGGGGAAACAGCCTGCAGCTAAGTGTGGGCGATAAATGATGATTCACTTAAATGGCTGTCTGCCCAATCAATCTATTTCCAAAAGAACTCATTCTCACAGACTGTGATATAATCAAAGATAACACATGGTATCTTTGTAGTCAATGAATGGAAAAGGCCAACTAATATACTTTCCAAATATAATAAATTCATACAAATTATTATAGTATCTTCCTAATTCTATTTGAGTTCTTGTAAGCATGTTATTACCAAGTGATCAGAAGATTTGATAGAGAAAACTGAAAATGTTTATTTGAAGTTTATTTAGAAAGCTCACTATTAACAATTAGCATAATAAAGAACTGAGATAAAACATCTAGTACTCCTCTGACTTTTAACTACATATGTTTTCTTACCATTTCAAGATACATTTTGCTCTTACCATCACCTGTTTTTGTTTCTGAAGATATACTGATTAAAATATCAAACTGCTTATTCATGTTATTCTTTTCTTTTCATCAACAGTGCCTGGCTGCCCAACACACTGGCACCATTATCTCAGTTTTTCCCCTAATGCTCAGAGTCACACTACCTTAAATGCAAATCAAAGGCTGTACAACTACAGAGTTCCAAACAATCAGGAAGTATATCATACCATGTAAAGGAGGTAGTGTCCTTAATATTTGTCTTCTTCCCTCTGCTTGCAATTACCTCTCAGCTTTATAGGATCAGGTTTTCAGTTAGCTTTGAGCTCAGTGGAGTTGTGCTACAGTGGAATTAGAGATTAGCAATATCTGCTGCCAGCTGTACCCTTTTCAAACCTAATTTTGGAGATCCTGATTTGCCAGGTAGAAACATATCAAAAAGGGATAACTGAGCCCTTCCTCTCCCCCAGCCTCCATATCCAACTGCATGCTATCTTCTAATTATCTTTCATGTGCTTTTATTTCTTCTCATCTCCACCACCCTTTGTTTTCCCTCAGCTACAGACTTGATAGCTGTGTCCCTGCCTTACATGTGTGTCCCTTCAATCTAGTAAAAGAAATCTTTAGAGAACACTATATAATCAAGTTAGTTCCCTAATTCTCCTATGGCTACTCAATATCCTCAGAATAAAGTCCAAATTAAATAACAAGACCTGTTAGGAGCCTTCATGACTTGTCTCCTGCCTACTTCTCAGTCTCCTTTCTCAATATACACCAGCTTCACTGAATTTTATTTAGTTCTTCAATTTCTCTCTCTCCCCCCCGGCAAGTTTTCTCCACTTATCACAATGCTTATTTATTAGCCTCCCCCACTGACTAAAAGTTCCAGGGACAGGCACTACATATCTGTCATTCCTCCTTTTATTCAAAGAATCTAGCACAGTGCCTAGCCCCTAGTAGACATTTATATGTAGATATTTGTTAAATAATGAATGGACAGAAACTGAAAGTGGCAGGTCTAATTTTTCAGCCATATTAATTACCCATGATTCTAAGGAGAGCAGAGAGGGACACATTTGATTCCTCTAGGAGCTTCTCCATAACACATACAAGCCAAGAACAGATTCATACATATTAAAGTTTTTAGATATCTGAATAGTATTCTTAGTCTCTTGAGTGGAAAAAATTATTAGATATATAGCTGTATCCCTGGTCAGTGAATTAGCATGGTCTCACTGAAGAGACAGCATTTGACAATGCTTTCTTTTGGCTGTACCTCTACATTTTGCTTCCCAGAGATGAATAAAAATACTAGTCAAGTTTCTAAATTTGTAAAAGCAATAGATTATTCTACTCTTTAGCACTGCCTAAGCCCCTGCCTCTATGCTAAATACTTTTTAAAAATAATCTAAGGCACAGAATTTGAACTCAAATCTGACTCCAGAACTTGTGCTCTGAACCACAATGAGATCAACTTGGTAAGCTATGTCTGATCCATACTACACAGGGTGTAGCAAAGGTAGGTTTACAGTTGTGAGTATGCAGTTTATTCTTGTTTTATTACTTATTAATTATTGTACTATTTTCCATAGGAACAACTGTAAACCTATTTTTACCCCACCCTTTATATGATAATTCTGGAAAGACAAGGAGCTCAAATTTAGACTCCATGATTCAGTTTCTATGAAAAGCACATCTGTAATAAAGAATATCTGAGGATCTTTCTGTAGGTCAAAATAACAAGAGGTTTAATCTTGCATGTCAACTGGAACCACCTTAGTGGTGCCACATTGAGAGCAACTCAATACATTGAGGAAGTTAATGAAAACAGTGTAAAATTTATGGTTTTACCTATATGTTACTAAAATTCCTGCAAGTAAAACTGATCACTTATTCAATATTAGAATGAAGCCAGATGTAGGCTCTACAGGCAGAACAGTTTTAAAGAGATGATGAGAAATGAGCAGAGTTCAAATATGTCTTTGAAAACATGTGAAAAAATAGAACATAAGTTACTGAAGAGATGAGCCAATATAATCAAACTCATTCACCCTCTGTGGCAGACTTCCCTGAGCATTCAGCAAGACACTTACTATAACATACAACACTTAGAGACATGCAAATGTATACAGGTACATACACAACCTAGCTTGTGTTATGCAAATTAAATATAAATTTTTCAATAACTTTTCCAATTATATGAATTGATCATTAAAAATTTTACAATTCAGGCATCCTTGCCTCTGAGTCCCTCTTTCTAAAGTTTTATAGAACTACTCAAATACTTCTATTACACGTAACTAAAAATTCCATAGATTATAAAGTCCTATAAAAATACTGATTATATAATTTAAATTACCTCTAAAATTTAATGATGAGAAAAACATGAGAACTTATACGATTTAATCAAGAACTAAATTTTAAATTCAAATCAAGAAAGAATAGTCCATCACATAAATTCAGTAGGATGTGTGTGTGTGTGTGTGTGTGTGTGTGTGTGTGTGTATTTCAAATGGAAGTATGTAGAGGAAAAAATTCAAAAAATTTTAAAAGGTTCTATATTAAAATAGATTGAAATAACATTTATGATCTCAATTACTTTCAACCAGCAGTTAGATTAGCTTAAGCCAACATTTTAAAAGAACTAAGAGACTCAGTAATCTTTCCCCATTTCTATAATACACATAAAAGACTAAAACTTGGGGGGCATGAGAGGACAGAACATAGTAGCTATCTCTAAGTTTATAGAAAAGGGAAAGGAAACACATTAAAAAAAATGAGACTGCTTTAAATTTTCATAAATATCCAGAAAATTGAGGAGAATATCTAATAAATACTTGTCCTTGAAATTATTTTCTCCATCTGATATTTTCTACAAGCACAAACAAAATATACCATTATAAAAAAAATTAGGGGCATGTTTATTTGACTAATTAATCAGCAAGTACATTCTGAATATTAGGATGAAAAAAATTAGAAATCTAGTTAACTAGATTTTGAAGGAGGTATGTCAATAAAAGGAAAAAGATAAAAAATGTTCTATTACTTAAAGCTACTTAAAAAGACTGAGCTTATTGTTGAAAACTCAAGTTTAGCACATATTTCAAGTAATGCAGTTTGTTTTTTTAACCTGTAGTATGTACTTACAAAAAAAAACAAAGGCAAAATCTCAGTATCTCTGTTGGTCTTCCTAGATCATGTTAATTTTGCTTTTTGGTTAAATACAAAGGAATAGAATTATGGAGAGTTCAGCAACAAGTTTTTCATTAGGATATGAAATCATGCCACGAGCTCCAAAAAAGGGTTAGTGGTATAAATTTGGGAAATAATCACTCATGCAAAAATCAGAAAATACCTGTACCGAGCCACCATGTCTGTCTGCTGCAAGGTGAGCTCTCAAATGGTGGGGATTTGCCTGCTGGGAGTCCCAAGCTGCCCTGTGGTCTGCCGACTGCCATTTATTTAATGCATGTGGCATGGATGGAAGAAGAAAAACCCAATATGTTAAACATCTCATCCTTATAATATGAAAAACAAACGTATAAAAGGAAATTTTAAAATACCCTTACTATTCTGAGTCACAGATGCAATGATACTGCATGTGGAGAGATTTTAATTAAATTGCTACAATTATGTCATGATCAACCATAAAAATAAAATACAACCATAGAATTTTAGAAGTGAAAAGAATTTAGATGTCACAGACTCCACCCTCTAACTTTATAAATGAAATTAACAAAGAACAGGGAGGTAAAAATGATGTGCCCAAGAAAGCACACCGAATTAAGCATGAGCGACCTAAAAAACCATTCACTATATTTTCTATAGTAGCGGTTCTCATTAGTTTTCTGATGAGGAACAACTTCTAGCAAGGTAAGAAAAAAATAGTACTTAAATAGTTGTTCCTAATATTCTAGAAAACTTTTCTCTCCTGTTTCTGATTGTGTAGATAATATGAGAAAACAGAGAAGTTCTTTGAAAAGTAAAAAGGGCTATATAGAAGACTATGAGAATATGACAATTTTTTAAAGTAATAATCCTACATAAGCTTCCTTAATCTTCTTTTATCTGGTTCAAATTAAGGAACACATTTCCCTGAAATAGACTGATAATTCTTGATGCTTTTAGATGATTTTGACAAATTTGCATGGCAATAACTTACAGACTAATAATCTACTAGCAGAATTAGAAGGGTTCGAGTCTATGTGTTCAGGAAAATGTGGACAGCACTAATAAAAAAAAAAGGGGGAGAAATAAATACAATATTTTAAGTTTCTATGACATGTTGGTTCTGCATGAGGTGCTTTATATATGTTATCTCAGTTTGAGATAAATAGTATTATCCTTATTTTACTGATGAAGACGCTGAGATGTGAAACACTTCCCTAAATCACAGAGGTAGCAAGGAGTACAGCAAGATTCAAACTCAGAGCCTACTGCTTCTCCAATAACCCTACCTAGCTCCTTAACACAATTAGGTCACGTTCTAAAGCCTTTGGTGCTCTTTACTTTCTTTTTCAAAGTCAAGAAAATCTTGCCATAGAGGGCCAAGCACTTTAGTTTATAGGGAGCTGAAGAATATCAGTGGTGAGAGAAACCCTTTGGGAGGAGAAGAGATATTAAAATTCAAGTAGACACAATGAATAAAAGTTCAGGCACTAAGTTCCCTAAATTAAATTGCACAGTTCAAAATTACATACTTTGTGGCATGAAGTATATAATCATAAAATAATGATGATAATTTTATAATATCTTTTCATTAAACCCTCCAAACTCATCAGCAGAATTTAGCAGATGTGTAGCTTAATTAAATAAATTAGATGAGATAAAAATCTGAACAGAATGGGAGAATGAAAATGATGTTAAAGTTGAGACAAATATCTAAACGTTGCCTCGGGACAAAAGGCAACATTTGGGGGTCACGGACCTCTTTAAGAAGATAGTAGAATAAACATTTACATGCACCCAACACTTTCTATAAAATATAGGATCCGCTAAACTTCAAACATTGACTCTAGGTTACAAATTGTTTACCTTGGGACATAGCAAAGGTTTTAGCCATTTAAAGAATGAATTTTTCTTCTTTTGGGATTGTGAACTATGTGTTTCTCATACAACTTAAAACTATTTACTGCTTCACAGATATCTAAGAATTTTTTTCTAGATAAACAACTTCTATTATAATGACAGTCTGCATATCCAGGTTTCAAGTTCAATATGTAAGCTATATTAAAGGATTTCCAGGAAAGAAAAAAATCACTGACTCCCTACATTTAGCTGAACAAGGACAACATGAATAACATCTGGTTCCCACCCTCAGTGAGCTAACAATCTAGCTAGTAAGACATGTCTGAAAGTCAACCTCTAAAATATTTAAATTAAAATTTAATTCAACAAAAGAAGAGCCTCACTTACTATAATACCTAACAGCTCAAGTGGAAATATTCAGAGAATATGAATTATTAATTTTCTTCCAAAGTACATTTTAGAAATTAACTGATTTATTAAATACAAACTCTGAGTCTTGACTTCTGAGCCATTTCTTTCTATACACAGCATCTACCAGAGCACTTAAGCTATCAACAAGCTGTAATTTATATTTTGAATTAATTCACATGCAAGACCCTTTATTGTCCCAATTTTTCTAAGGCTAAAACTGAACTTTTTAAATTGGCTATACTTTAAAGAATACTGTTAAATATCCCCTAAAAATAGCATTTTATTTTGTGATGATTCTTAACAAGTTGTGTTTTTTCCTTTGATTTTTCATCTCTTGTTTAACCCTCACTAGAACTCTGATGGGATGAAAGATGTAAAGGATAAACCATTATCCTTCTCTAAAAACGGTTACAATCGAAAATACTAAACACACTTTTTAACTCAGAGAAATAACAAAATTTCTTATGCTAAAGGTGGCTCCAATAAAACTTTTTACAAAAAAGAGAAAGTGAAAACATTGCTCAAAAATTTCAACAGCTCTCAATCACCTTAACTCAGAAAATCCATCTTCTATGCATTATCTTGAACCTACTCCCTGCTCCAAGCAAACTGAACTGCTTGCTGTTCCTCAAAGTCTACATTTGTAAACTTTTGCTTCATATTTTATACTGCTCACTCTCTCTAGAGTGTTTTTATTCCTTTATCTGCCTTTGAAAATGTCATTCATTCTTGAAGTTCATCTCAAAAACCACATTCTCCTAAAATCTTTATAGTTCTTACATAGTTCCTTTATATTTCCTAATGATCTTCCATGGCACTTCATTAATATACTTAATGCGATGGAACTTATTCTGCTTTATAATGTAGTTATTTGTGAATTTATTGTAATAATCATGCTAACAATAACACCAAGCATGAGAGTTGAAATTTATTGAAGGCTTACTATATGCTAGGAATTAACATGCATTATTTCTCTTTTATCGATGACAGAACTGAGGTTTTGAGAGATTAAGTAATTTACCCAGGGTTAAACCATATCCAGGTATGAATGATTCCAGAGACTGAGTGAAATCTTAGCCACTCATTACAAAATATTTCTTATAGGTTATATTGTTTTACTTACTTCTGCATTTCTGCAACATGTAAAATAGTAACTTTCAAATACTAGAAACTTAGTAAATAATTTATTACACTAGACTATAGACAGAAAGATCAACTGCTATTACAATTCATTCCAATAAGATGCCCAAATACTTCTATTCTAACAGAATGTCAAATGTTGCTCAAAATTATATTGATTTATACCACTAAATTATAAATTTATAATTAAATTAACAGTGAATATTAGGGGAAATATATATTTTTAATTCTTAGCATGTGTGTATATAATATTTTATCTGTTGAAGAAGAAACATGCATTTCATTCTTTCAATATGTATATACATGTGTATATATACACTCACACACACATGTAAATACACACACACACACACACACACACACACACACACACACAGCAGTCACCTGGACATGATAAAACACCAAATGCATTTATAAACTGTCAGAAGGTAATACAGAAGCAAACTAAGACATTTTTATCTAAAGGGGAAGCAAACCTGATTTTTGGATTGTTGCATCTTATCTCTGTGTTGATGTGCTTCTCTGTTTGATGATAGAGCAGGATCTTGCTGAACTGCCCCCACTGGAGTAGGCTACAACACAATAGCAATTAGCATCAAAATACAACCTACTTCAGAAGTTTTACTTAATATCATTCAGCTGTTTAAAAGACTCAAGGAAGAAAGTAAGGCCTTAAAAGACATCATTCTCAAAATATATTAAAGCTAACGAAGACAACAGCTACTCTTTAAAATGTTTTGAGAATATTTAAATGCTTTATCAAGTATTTATTTTTACTGGTATAACAACAAAAGATCTTCTAATGCTGTCATTTCTTTTAAATTACTTTTTCATATAAAAAAATATAGTTCTAACTGGTTTGGCTCAGAGGATAGAGCGTCAGCCTGCGGACTGAAAGGTCCCAGGTTTGATTCCGGTAAAGGGCATGTACCTTGGTTGCGGGCACATCCCCACTAGGGGGTGTGCAGGAGGCAGCTGATTGATGTTTCTCTCTCATCAATGTTTCTAACTCTCTATCACTCTCCCTTCCTCTCTGTAAAAATCAATAAAATATATATTTTAAAAAATATGAAAGTATATCTGTTCATTGTTTCTCATTTTCAAAGCTAATGTATAAACAGAATAAATTATTTTTAAGGGAATAAAAAAATTAAGGGAACAACTTTTTAAATAAACTAATAAAAATGCATACTGTCACTCAGAAGAGGCTTATAAAAAATTTTCAAGTACAATTCAAAATATAAATCTTTAATCAAAGTTTATTTAGATTTCCACCATAGATAACATGTATATTCAAATCACTTTGCATTTAAGAAAAATATACATTAAACACTTAGTAAGTCAACTGTTCAAAAATACTTGAACTTGAAAGGTCAGTGGTTCCAAATATGGATAAAAACTTGCTAACAGTGAGCCACAAATAAAGAAAATTTTGTAGAACATTCTTACTTATTAAAAAAAGATTAGTGAGAATAAATATTTGATCTTTCAGAAATCGCCTCTTCAAAGAAAGAATATAACGACATCTCTTTAAGTGCTAAGCACCAATCCTACAGTTAAAATAATTTTTTTTAAGTTATGAAAACTTAGGTACAGTTTTAAAAACTTACTCCAAGTATCAATCTATTCCAAGAGATAACTTAGAACTGCTAGAATAATTAAAGCATTTTTAAATTACAAAGATTTTAAAAGATGGCTAAAGTAAACAGAAAACAAAACTAGCTAGCTGATCATTTAAAGTAATCACTAGAATATTAGACCAAAAATAGGATATCTGACACTAAGAATTAAATCAGGGATGAAAAGTTTGAAAAATCACTCAAAAAAGCAGAGTCCAAATGTAGGGTATTTATAAAATTCAAAGGATAATATATTAGTATTTTGTTACCTAAACTATCCCTAAAAAGGAAATAAAATGAACCCTTTTTCAAACGTATTTGTTTTCAACTCTTTTCACTTGAAGGAAAAAAAACAATAAAATATTTTATTATATAGTGGAGAAACTCACCAACTGTTTACCCATCCAGTCATATTCATAATCAAACAGATATCCCTTTCGATCAAACAAGTCAGTAAAAAGCTTTCTTAGGTAGTCATAGTCTGGTTTTTCAAAAAAATCTAGCCTTCTTACATAACGAAGATATGTTGCCATTTCTTCTAGAAAGGAAATAAAAATTATTTTGAATATACTTATCTACATACTCGTTAATAAAATTATTTAAGTGTGTAAAAAGCATACAGTATTACAAAAACAAAAAATAAAATTCTATATTCAATTTAAATTTTTATAAATTTAATTACAATGACTTTTTTTTTAAAGGGAGAAAATTCCTAACCTTGTTTATAAGCAGTATTTGAACCAACTGACCTAGCAAAATAATCCTCAAAATATAACACAGAAGCTGCTTAATTCTTCTTTTAATTTCTGGTCATATAATTAACAATCATGCATTCCGTTAAAATTCTAAAATGTATTAGAGATTTGTACATTTTTAAAAGGTCATGCTCTTCAGGATGAAAAAGACATAAAAATCAATAGGCAAAATGGTAAGCAAAACCATGTTTCACCATGGAAGCACAAAAAAATCACTGTAGTAAGAGATAGTAGGTTGCACCTAGTTGCTTTTCTGATTTAATTCATTCCTGGTAGCCAATAAGAACAGGATCACGCTAAGCTCAATGGGCAGTGAAAGTGGCACCCAGAGACCTTGATCACATGGTGAAGCTCACTAGTCCACTTTCTAGCTAATTATCTGGTTAATTTACTTTGGCACCACCATTTCATTTTTCTTGCAGAAATTTATATAGGCTTCTTAACTTACAGTCAATCTGCCTACACCTAAACTGCTAGTACTAGCAACGAATATTTTTTTTAACCCTCTAGTTTTAGATTTAAAAAGAAAAACATATAAAGTTTGCTGACAATGAATAAAATAGCAAACTTGGGAAAGAGCTACCAGAGATTATACTGCTGATATTATTAGAATAATAATGTCAGCATTGTACAGGCAAAGTTGTGAATATCAAAGTGAGATTGAATTCAGCCTTCTATCTTCAAGTTTGGTTCTGTTTTCTCAATGTTATTGCACATATCTCAGCAGGTATTTGAATACATTAGCAACACATTATTCTTATTTCTTTTTTATTCTTATTTCTTAATTGATTTAGAAATCTTAAGTAAGTTTCTGTTGGTTTGAGTTGCCATAAATCTACATGAAAGCTAAACTATTTTCATAAAGCTCCTTAATATAAAATTAGCCTAAAGGTAATAAAGGTAGTAAGGTTTTACTGTACTTTGAAAAATGGACTAAATCAGAAAACATATACCTACGTTGAGTTGAACAATGAGACTCAAATGACTAACATTACACTGAAACTTTATAGTTGGTATTTCTTAGCAAATATTTTTTAATTCTTTATTGTTTAAAGTATTACATATGAATCCTTTTTCCTTCATTGACCTCCCCCTACTCGCCTTCCCCCGCCCCCCACACATGCCCTCACCGCCCCTACTGACTGTGTCCATGGGTTATGCTTATATGCATGCATACAAGTCCTTTGGTTTCTCTCTCTCCACGCTTCCCCCAACCCCCCTTCCAAATATTTTAACTTCTTAAAAGTATTTTATTTAAGAAAATATTACTTCAGCTGGTATTGGTCAGCATTACTAAAGATGGGATTTTCTTCTTCTAATACCATCCTAACAAAGCAAATATGGAAACTGACCCTGTGGTCTGTGCATCAAATGCTGACATCTTTTAAATAATATTTTTAGTTCATTTTTTTAAAACATGAAAAAAGGTATTTATACACTTAAACAATGATTAACAGTCTGGTCTTCTGTGTATGAGTATATGGTTCAATGTGGCATTATTCATTACCTGGAAAATTTTCACATAACACTTCTATGGGTGTGGCTCGTTTTGTATCTCCAATTTTCTGATACCTCTCTTTTAATGTGTCAGCCTAAAACAGGGGAAGAAAAAAATCTTGAGAAAGTGGTAATTTTAAAATTAAATACTTGGAAGACTGGATTGTAATATATTAACAATTTCTAAAATTCAATAAGGAAACATAAAAATGTTTACCTTTAAACCTTGCCAAGGAAGACTGCCTCTAAGAAAATACATGAACATATGACCTAAAGCTTCTAAGTCATCTCTTCTACTTTGTTCTGAAATATAAGAAGAACATAAATTACACTTGCCTCTTCCAGTTAAGAATGCAAGAATGAAGAACTAATTCTTCTGTTATATACCAATTAATTGCTAAAAGTTTAGTATATAAATACATAATAAAGATCTAGTGCTTTATATATGACAAGGTCTTATTTAGTTAAACAATAATGTTTTTACATTAAATTTATTATACATATTTAAAATATGCTATACTTCCTGAGAATCTATTGATGATTTTTTTCTCTCCTGAGATATCTATTCATAGAAACATAAGGCAAGGGGGGAAAGGTTTCATGGTCAAATAGAATCACTGTATACTAAAGCTCTGTCTTAAAGATTCAGAATGTAATATATGAAAGATTCTGGAAAAAGAACTAGAGTTTTTCCCTAAAAGATTAATCCTAATATTAACCTTAAACGTTACACCGTAAGAGTGTCTAACCCTGTATTTCCTAAATTTATAAGCACAAACTTCCATCCCACAAACATCATTGATTTTAAAAACAATTAGTATTCTCTGTAATGTGTTTTTTAAAAAACACTTGTGTTTGACACATTCCAACATGCATAACCCCTCCAAAAATATTCTGCTAAAAGAAACTGTCATTTTCAAATTGCTATTATTGTTTTAGTAATAAATTGTTGTATAGCACATAACCGAGTGACAATCACAGACTAAGGGAGGTATCTACAAATATTTGCTGAGTGCATTTTTTTCAATTTTTTTTATCACTGAAGTTAAATGCTTAATATAAAAAATGCTGACTAACAAAAGAAAAAAATAATAATAAAAAGATGTTCATGTGCAAGATGTTTTATAAAAATGAATGAGCAGTACTAAATGCTTTTGAAAAGGCAAGTGAGCATTAAAGCTTCAGAAAAGGTTTTAATTTTTGCTATATAATTTCATAACATTCTATAATTGTCTCCTGTAACATGTGCTACAGTTTAAAAATAAATGTTTGTGTTATTTTTTAATCAATATCTATGCTCCCACCAAATAGCAAGTCCCAGGAGGCCAGATGTCTGTCTCTTTGGCTCATTATTCTCAGATCTGGTATAATGGCTGCCACAGAGCAGGCACTCAACACAAACTATTTAAATACATAAATGAATATTTGGAAATATATACTACCAGATATATGTCCCTTTTCTATAAGTACAGGAAAATATCTAAAAGAATATGCTTTAAATCATTAGTAATCAGGGGTATGAGACTGGAGAACGAGACAAGACATTTCAATTTCTCATTTCATATACTAAAAAATGTGGTATAATAGGAAATTTTTCTTCTATTTTGTATTATAATAATGTAAGCATATGCTATTGAAAACAGCAAACTTTCAAAATAAGTAAAATAGATTTAAAGTTCTTTGCAAAGCCATTAATGAATGTGGGATGTGAGTAACATGAAAAAAATCATGCCTTTTATTAATAAAATTATATTTTATTAGGTACTGGAAGTATTAAGAATAAAAAGTCATGCCAAAAAAATTCTGAAGTCTTGCTGAGAATCGGAATCAACTCCGGAATCTTTTAAAAACCTTAAGTAAGCAGGCCTAATGCCAGAGATTGATTCATTGGGTACAACATGGAGTAGAAGAATGTACATTTTACATATATTTTTTAAATTAATTTCAGAGAGGAAGGGAGAGAGAGTTAGAAACATCAATGAGAGAAAATCATTGATCAGCTGCCTCCTGCACACCCCCCACTGCGGATCGAGCCCACAAGCCAGGCATGTGCCCTTGACCAGAACTGAGCCAGGGACCCTTCAATCCGCAGGCCGATGCTCTATCCACTGAACCAAACCAGCTAGAATGTACATTTTAAAAGTTTAGCAGATAATTCTAAAGTAGACTCGGATTTGATAAGCTCTAAAAAGGAAACTTCTTTCATTGAAGTATTTAATTATTTAACATATAATAAAATACATACATTATAGGGGTACAGTTTGATAAACTTTAACAACACACACACCTAAGTACCATCTATTAAAGGACCTTTGTGTAACTTCCAGTTTGAGGCCATTGTGAATAAAACTGTTATGAACATTCTTATACAAGTCTTTTTGTGACATATGCTTTCATTTCTCTTGGGTAAATATCTAGGAGTGGATTTCTGTGTCATATGGAAAGTATAGGTTTAACATTATAAGAAACTTCTACACTATTCTCCAAAGGGGTTGTGCCATCTTGTATTTCCACCAGCGATGTAGGAGAGTTCCAGTTGCTCCAGAGCTTGTTCAACATTCGCTAGTAGTATAGCCAATCTTTTAAATTTTAGCCATGCTAGTGGCCATGAAGTATGTGCTCACTGTGATTAAATTTGAATTTCACTAGTAACCAGTATTTTTTAACATCATTTCATGTGTTACTGGTCATTCACACATCCTTTTGTTAAGTGTCTGTTCAAATATTTAACACATTTTTTAAGTTTTATTTTTTGTCTTATTCTAAAGTTGTAAGAATTGTTTGTATATTATTGATATGTCATTTTCAGATATAAATTTTACAAATACTTTCTCCCTCATCGATGTTTCTATCTCTCTATCCCTCTCCCTTCATCTATCTAAAATAAATTTTTTAAAAACCCACAAAACAAGAGAATTTCTTGAAGAAAAATTAGGAGAAAAGTCTTTGTGATCTTAGGGTAGTCAAAGATTTCCTAATAAATTGGGCTTTTTTTCAAAGAACAGAAGTGTGCATTTTGACACTGACCTCACTCCTTCAAAAAATTAACCAAAATGGATCACATACCTAAGTGTAAAACACAAAATTATAAAATTCCTAGAAAATAACACAAGATGGCCTTGGTTTTGGCAAAGATTTTTTACATATAATAACGTAAGTATAATCCATGAAAGAAATAATAATGAGCTATACTTCATTAAAATTAATAACTTTAGCTCTGCAAAGACACCATCGAAAGAATGAAAAGATAAGCCACAGACTGGGAGAAGATATTTGCAGAAGATACATCTCATAAAGGACTGTTATCCACAATACTAAAGAACTCTTAAAATTCAAAAATAAGAAAATAACCTGATTACGACTGGGCCAAGACCTTAACAGATACCTCAAAAAAGAAGATATACAGTTGACAAATAAGTATATGAAAATCCCACATCATGTAATCAAAAAGTGCAAATTTCCATCTCTTACAATGGTGTCTACAACACTGACAACAGCTAATGCTGCCAAGAATGTGGAACAGAAACTCTCATTCATGGTTGGTGGAATTGCAAAATGGTACACCCACATTGGAAGACAGTTTGAGGGTTTCTTACAAAACTAAATATATTCTTACCATACAATCCAGCATTAAGATCCTTGGTATTTGGAGGAAACCAAGATGGCGGCATAGGTAAACACCTGAAATTGCTGCCTCACACAACCACTTCAAAAATACAACTAAAAGACAAAACAGACATCATCCAGAACCACAGGAAGGCTGGCTGAGTGGAAATTCTACAACTAGAAGGAAAGAGAAAAGCACACTGAGACTCAGAGGAGGTGCAGAAGTAAAGTGCAGAGGTATGTAGGCGCCTGCGGAAAGGGCTGGTAACTGAGGACACGGCTGTCTTTTTCAATCGGGAAGGAGTCTCAAGCTCCCAGCTGATCTGAACTCCAGTTCCAGGCAAGTCTCTGGGGACCCAGACTCCTATGGGGAGAAACTGGACTGTCTGGCATCAGTCGGAACTCGAGGTCGGCTTTCTCTCAGAGATGCTTGCAGCGATTACCACGGGACACTGAGACCCAGGGCCACTTAGGGCAGGACTGAGGATCAGCCATAGCTGTTTGCTCCGCCCTGTTGATTCCCTGAGACGCCGCCCCACCCAAGCTGTGTGCAGAGGCTTTTGCATATGAATGGCCTGGCCCTTTGCAATCTAAAATTACCTAACAAACTGCAGCTGGGTCAGAGAGACCCAGAACATCCAAAACAAGGCCCAAGGCCCCACAGCAGCTTGCACTGCTACACAGCTGGGCCTCATCTGGGCACCTCAAACCCCAAACAAAGAAGAGGAATCTGCAGATCTCTCCGTAGCTCCTGCTGGGTAGCCTCAGGAAGAAGCTACATTAGCACCTCCTTAGAGATCCAAGTGCCAGTGTACCCAGTGGTCAGAGTCGGACCATCCAGATTACAACTCCTCAGATCCATAAGGGACACACTCAGGGGGCAGAAGCAGTGAGCACCAAAGCCCCACTGAAGCAAGTCTTGCCCCAGAAGGGTGTCTCCAGCACAGAAGTTCTCCCACTGCAGACACAGCTGATTCTCACAGCCAATTGGCCTGGAGGTCAATCCCTCCCAGTGATACCTACAACAATCAAGGCTTAACTACAACAAGACTGTGCACAAAGCCCACAAAGGGGTGCACCAAGAGTGTCCTCCTCAGGTAATTGGGGAGGCTGAGCCACTGGGCCCTATAGGACACCTAGCACACAAAGCCACTCTATCAACACAGGGAAGCAGGCAAAATGTGGAGACAAAGAAACAGGTCACAAATGACAGAAATGGAGGAAAGCAAACTACTGGATATAGAGTTCAAAACCACACTTTTAAGGTTTTTCAAGAATTTTCTAGAAACCGCCAATAAATTTAGTGAAACCCTCGATAAATCTAGTGAGACCCTCGAGGATATGAAAAAGAACCAACTAGAAATAAAGCTTACACTGACTGAAATAAAGAATATTATATAGACTCCCAACAGCAGACCAGAGGAGCGCAAGAATCAAGTCAAAGATTTGAAATACGAAGAAGCAAAAAACACCCAACCGGAAAAGCAAAATGAAAAAGAATCCAAAAATACGAAGATAGTGTAACGAGCCTCTGGGACAACTTCAAGCATACCAACATCCAAATTATGGGGGTGCAAGAAGAAGAGAGAGAGCAAAATATTGAAAACCTATTTGAAGAAATAATGACAGAAAACTTCCCCTACCTGGTGAAAGAAATAGACTTACAAGTCCAGGAAGCGCAGAGAACCCCAAACAAAAGGAATCCAAAGAGGACCACACCAAGACACATCATAATTAAAATGCCAAGAACAAAAGACAGAGAGAATCTTAAAAGCAGCAAGAGAAAAACAATTGTATGGGAATACCCAAACAATTGTCAGCTGATTTCTCAATAGAAACTATGCAGGCCAGAAGGGAGTGGCAAGAAATATTCAAAGTGATGAATACCAAGAACCTACAACCAAGATTACTTTACCCAGCAAAGCTATCATTCAGAATTGAAGGTCAGATAAAGAGCTTCACAGATAAGAAAAAGCTAAAGGAGTTCATCACCACCAAACCAGGATTATATGAAATGCTGAAAGGTATCCTTTAAGAAGAGGAAGAAGAAGAAAAAGTCATGGATAGTAATGATGACCCCGATGAAGACAATCTTACAAGTTATGATATTCAGCTCAGTATTCAAGAATCCATTGAAGCCAGCAAGACAGAATTTTATCCTGAAAGGTAACAATCAACTTGACTGTCCTCAACAAAATTTCTTTATGACAATCATTTGGTTGTAAGATGAAATAAATGCTGTTTCCTAACTCTTAGAAAAAAATTTAAAAATCCTTAGTATTTACCCAAAAGAGTTGAAAACTTATGCCCACACAAAAACACACACATGGATGTTTGCTGGGAGCCGGTCCATCCTTGCTGTTTCAAAGGACCTGGCATATATGGTATACTGTTCTTAATATGTTTGCTCACCTTCTTGGCACTATGTGTTTTAACCAAGGTCTCCTCTCTGAGAAAGGTTGTTTCCCCAGGTAGGGATTTTCCCCCGAAGTTAGGGAGGGAATAAAACCTCTTAACTAAGTGCCAGGCGGGTAATTAATCACTTTAACTACGAACAATCGTGCTTAAGCTACATAATCTTTACTCCCTGGAATGAAGATAAGAAATGCCCTAACCTTTGTAATAGAGATTGATAGGATTGAATCAACTGGTATAAATACAGATGCAACAAGACAGCAAAACCCAGAACTTAGAAGACAGAACTTAGAAGACAGAACCAAGAGAGACAGAACCTAGGCACAGAACCTACACAGAACGTTCTCTAGAGACAGAAGAACTTCGCTGGAGAGAACATGGCAAAAGATCCTGGACTGAACCTGACTATAGAACATGGCAAGAGAACCTGACTAGAACCTGGTGACTGAACCTGGCTGGAGAACCTAGCGAGGGAACATGGCTACAGAACCTGGCTGGAGAACCTGGAGAACCTAGCAAGAGAACATGGACACAGACCCTGGCAGGAGATCCTAAGGAGAACCTCTCTGGAGATCCAGACCAGAACTTGGCTGGAGATCCTGGCTGGAGATCCTGGCTAGGCTGCTGATCAACTGAACACTGTCTCCGTGTCATTCCTTCTTCGCCGACTCCGTCTACGCTTTTGGGGACCCCTGGACCTGCTGGCGCTGGACCCCATCATATGGCGCCCGAACAGGGACCCCTAGGTAAGCGCCCCGCACTCGGGACGGATAGGACTCCACCATAGGAAGAGGGTGGATAGTCTTCGCCGACTCCATCCACACCTCTGGGGACCCCTGGACCCGCTGGGGTTGGACTCTGGCAGATGTTTACAGCAGCATTAGTCCTAATTGCCAAAACTTGGAAGCAATGAAGCTGTCCACCAGTAGGTGGATAAATAACCTACAGTACTTCCAGACAATAGAATATTATTCAGCACTAAAAAGAAATGAGCTATCAAGCCATGAAAAAACATGGAGTCTTAAATGCTTATTACTACGTGAACTATACCAGTCTAAAAAGGCTACATACTGTATAATTCCAACTATATGTCATCTGAAAAAGGAAAAACTATGGAAATAGTAAAAAGACCAGTGGTTACCAGGCATTGAAGGGAGAGAGGATTAGGTAGAGCATAGAGCAGTGATGGCAAAATTGTCCAAAACCACAGAATATACAACACCAAGAATAAACCCTAAAGTAAACTATAAACTCTAGGTGACAATGATGTATCAATGTATGTACTAGTATATGTACTAGTATATTATAACAATTGTTCCTTTCTGGTAGGGAATGTAGCTAATGCATGTTTGGGGACATGGGGTATAAGAAAAATCTCTGTACCTTCCACCTAATTTTGCTGTGAATTTAAAACTGCTCTAAAAAAAAAAGTCTATCTTAAAAAATACAATTTAAATTCATTTTCTCTAAACTTACTTAGATAAAGTTATACATCCTAGCACTCTCCAACTGAAGTGTCACTATATAAAATAGTAACCATACAAAAATTATGACCCTGGCCTGGCCAGTGTGGCTCAGTTTGTCAACCCATGCATCAAGAGGTCGCCCGTCCGATTCCGGGTCAGGGCACATGTCCCAGTTGCAGGTTCTATCCCCATTGGGAGCATGCAGGAGGCAGCGGACCAATACTTTTGCTCTCAGATCAATGTTTCTCTCTCTCTCTCTCTCTCTCTCTCTGTCTCTCTCTCTCCCTCCCTCCCTCCCTCCCTCCCTCCCTTAAAATTAATTTAAAAAACCATCTTTAAAAAAACTAACACTGAGCCATTGGGAAGTTGTGAGTTCATGTCTCACAATAAAATGGTGATGAATCTCTGTTGGTTGTTATAAAGCAGCCTGTTATGGAAATGGAAATTTCTCACAGACACTAAATATAGGTGTGCTGGGTTTTAATAGAAGACACAGTCTTGAAAGTTGAATATCTATCCAATCATATTTTAAATCTATTGAGAAAATGTGCTACTGAAAGGCACTCCACGCAAGCACTACCTAAACCCAACTTGTGCTTTATAATTTCAGGTGTTTGAAACTTACTTTTCTTAAAGAAGGGCAAATTTACATTTTTCAGGTATTTTCAGACATCTGTAAAGAAAAATACCATGAGCCTACTCTCAGGCCAGCTGTCAGGGAAGATGCCAAGTGCTATTTTGTTCTGAATGAGCAGAAGCAGAGACATGTAGTATAGAGCTTGTAAGTCTGAGGAGAACAGTTAAACTTGGGCTACACTAGGAGTTAGAAGTTGGATTAGATGACTTATAAGGTCCTGTACAAATTATGGTCATACATTGTAGGTACATTTGAGCAGTGGTGATGGATAACATATGTTCCTGTCTATTCTCCCTTAAGAAGATAGAATCTAAAAGCAGAAATTTAAGTTTGGCTTCCTCTGATATGAAAACCAACCACAGCTTAACAATAATCTATTGTAAATACAATAGATTAGAACTGAATGTTTTTAGAAAGTCACAAATGTAATTCAATGGGAAAGAATATATTATAAAAAGAACCTCGCCCAGCCAGTGTGGCTCAGTGGTTGAACTTGGACCCATGCACCAAGAGGTCGCTGGTTCGATTCCATGAATCCATACTGATAGAAATCAATAAATGGGGGAAGAGAAAGCTTTTGCTTACATCAGAATATCAACTAACTATATAATTGATGGAGTTAGAAAATCAACAATGGATGCTAAATCTAGTGGATAAAAATGTGATGAGGAACAACATGTATACAAAATCTCAAAGATCTACTTACAAAACATTTTTTAGTAACAAAGGGAAAATAAGAAACTGTTAAGTGGAGAAAATTAGTAGACACTACCCTAAACAAATGATCAAGACACTTGGAACCAAGTGACATCATGCACCTCTTGACATTTTGCAGTGAGAACATATCACTTCTATATTTGTGCTAAGAATGCATACCAAAATATAATCATGAAGAAATATCAGATTGACGTAAATGGAGAGCATTCTACAAAACAGTCCATACTTCACCAAAATATTAAGGTCATGAACCATAAAGAGAGGGGAAGAACTGTTCCAGATGAAAAGAAACTAAAGAAATATGACAAATAAATGATAATGTGTGGTCCTGGACTAGAAAAAAAATAAAAGCTGTAAGAAATCCTGTGAGGTTGATATTATTTTATTCTTTTTACAAATAAGGAAACCAAAGTCGTATAGCTAGTAAACAGTACTGCTAAGGTATGTCCTCTTAGCATTAAATATATTAGGCATTTGTTATTTCCTGGCTAATTGTATCAAAGTACCATATTCTCAATCAAAAATATCTGCACAAACTAAATTCAGTTAGAATTAAGTATTCTCTCATATCCTTTTAACAGAAATAATCAAATGCATCACCCTCACCAAATCAAAGTTGAACATTTCAAATTATATTAAAAAAAGATATAGTGAATGCAAGGATATCTGTCATTCATTTACTCTAGAACAACTTATTTTAAAAATGTTTTATTAAGCCTGGCCAATGTGGCTCAGTGGTTGAGCGTCAACCTATAAACCAGGAGGTCACAGTTCAATTCCTGGTTGGGGCACAAGCCCCGGTTGTAGATCAATACCCAGTATGGGGTGTGCAGGAGGCAGCCGATCAATGATTCTCTCTCATCATTGATATTTCTATCTCTTTCTCCCTCTCCTTCCTCTCTGAAATAAACAAAAACTTATTTTTAAAAATAAAATAAATAAAAATGTTTTATTAAATATAAATAAAAGTAAACTCTAGCTAGATGTGATAAATAAAAATTGTAATAAAAGCAATTGTAACCTGCAAAAACTGAACCATAGTAACAAATATTAAAACTCACACCGTTAGCATAGTTACTGAATTCAAACAAAAGGTACACATACCTTTTCCTAAATGTGTATTTATGCTCATATATCTAGCTGTTCCTGTAAGGCTTTTGTGCTCTCTGTATGGTATGTGTTTCTTTGTCTCTGGATCAATATATTCCTTCGCCAAACCAAAATCTATAATATGAATAACTTGCTGGGTTTTATTTCCTGGTCGTCCTATTAAGAAGTTCTCAGGTTTTACATCTCTGTATATCAAGTTCTTTGAATGAACATATTCCATACGAGAAATCTTGATTTTAAAAAGAGAAGGAAGATAAATTTTATTTTAAGCTTTGACTAGCATAAAAAAGCATGATAGAGGCAAGACAACTTTCATAATAAAAACATAAAAAAATCAGAACTTATTTCAACCCTTTAAAAGTAACATATCAAAAGTAACATATAGTTTCTCAAATATATATCTGATTATGATTAAAATTCTTTGCTTTTACTATTAATGTCACTTATAAATGAACATATTTGAATTTTATGAATTCCTTTCAAATCAGTAAGCCTGATTTAATCAACACTTTCAGATAATGCTATATCATAAAATCGAAAAGCTTTACCAATACTAAATCTTGAACTCAAAAATATAAAGACATATTCACAAAGTTGCAGTTTATTCTTCCTCATCAGTTAATTAATCAAGCAACTTTTACAATTATATTTTAAAAACTTAAAACGTCTAAACTGTTAAATAAAAACAATTAACATAGTACCGTTTAGTAAGTCTTTTTGTAACTTGTTTTCTTTACATTTTCCTTAGGTATGAAACGTTTTAAAAGATCTTAAAACTTTAAAATTTTCAAATATACTCTAATAATGATACAGTACATTTTTATTGTTTTACACATTCTCAAATAATGTTCAGTGTACAAACTGTCACAAAATAGAACATTACAAATAAAATAAAATTGCATCATTTAGTGGTAATCATGATTGACAATGCAATATAAAGATACTGTAAACATATTGTAAACTCAGGCCATTTTAGTTGGTCAACAAATTTTGGATCATATAATATAATATATAATGTTCTATAGCCTATACTTTTAGTTAATGATATATTATGAGCATTTTCCAGGTCATGAAACTTTCTTTTAATACACACTTTGCATTAAAAGTATGTATTATTTTAAATGTATACTTTACTAGTATACGGCTATTAACAAACTATTCAACTAATCCTGTTATTTCTGTACATTTGGGTTGTTTCCACTTTATTATAAATATTCTTGCACAAAAACCTTTAAGTACAGCTGAATACTTCCATAGAACAAATTTATAGAAGTGGAATTAATGAGTCAATTGAAAAAAACAATTTTAAGACTTCTGCAGCATACTTCTATTGACATTTATTTCAAAATTGCTTTAAAATCATCCTCTAAATTTGTTTTCCCATAGGTTCACTAAAATTTAAATAATTTAGAAAACTTCCCATTAGTTTGTTTCCTCTATTTTTCAGCCATCAGAATTTATTACCAAGATTAATAATCCATGTTTTTGAGGGTTTTCTTTTCTAAGTATTCATCTTCTAAATGAAAAGTGCTGGAAACAACTTAATTCTCAAACTGAGTATTCTGATCTTAAAGCAATAAAATATTCTTTCATAAAAATAATATACTACACTTGATTCAGTTTTTTAAGTTATATGCATCCTAAAAAGACAATAATATGAAAGCAGAAACATTTGTACTAAGTTGAATGATCTGCAAGATAATGTAGCAAAACCTGAAACTTTTAATATAAATTTGTGACTAGAGAACCACACAATTGTTCAAATGACTTCAAAGCACCCTGCTTTACTTACCAGTTGGATAGCTATCATGAGAACTGTTTTAAGAGAAAATGTTCTATCACACAAATCAAACAAATCTTCCAAACTAGGTCCCAGCAGTTCCAGCACCATAGCGTTGTATTTACCACAAGGGCCAAAATAGTAAACTTGAGGTATACCATCTGGGGGGGGTAGAAGAAGAAAGGATTTTAATAATTTCCTCATCTTCAATATCAAACTTTTCTTCCTAGAAAATTCACTTAACAATTAATTTTGCAGTTTCAAGAACTACAGCAGTAGTTTTACATTTCCCATGGATACAATAAACTTCTCCTGACCCAGCCTTCTCTTGCTAGAGTGTAGCTGGTTACACTCCTACAGCAGCTGCATGACTGAACTACATTACAAACAGAGCTTCATTGTTGGTCTCTACCATCTCATCAAAGACAGGAACTGGGCATTTTAGTCTTATATTTCCATGACCTAGAGAAATGCTTGGCACCTAGGAAAGATTTGATTTTCACTGAACAAAAGAGTCACTGTTCGCTTAAATAACACTGTGGTAGGCATAATGCTAAGATCAGCCTCCAAGAGTCCCATCCTCTGGTGTATACACCCTGCACAATCTCCTCCCTCTAAGTGTGGGCAAAATTCCCAGATTTCACTTGTGATCAGGTTATATTATATGGCAAAGGCGATACAATTAATATCCCTATCAGTGGACTTTAAATTAATCAAAAGTATTCTGGTGGGTCTGACCTTCAGATTCAAAGTACAGAAAAGCTTTCCTGTTGACCTTAAAGAAGCAAGCTACCATGTTGTGGAGAAAAATCATATGCCAGGAAATGATGGGAAGGCTCTAGGAACTGAAGGGCTTGGTCCCACAGCCATGAAAAACTGAATTCTGGGAATAGCCTGTGAGCTAGGAAGAGGACTGAGCCTCAGGTAAGATTGCAGTCTGGGTTTACATCTTGATTTCAGCCAGACAAGACCCTCAAATGAGGACCCAGCTAAGCCATGCCTGAACTCCTGACCCCTGGAAATTGGCAGATAATAAAATCTACTGTTCTATGCCACCAGTTACTGAATAATTCATTATTCAACAATACAAACTAATCAAACTCCAAATATAAAGTCTAAATGCACAGAAATCATCTCTATCTTTAGAACTAGAAGACTCCCAAGTAACAAATATAAATAGGTAACCAATTTATTTTAACACTGCATTTATCTATCCATCATGAGTAAATGAACTTCTCCATCTTAAATGTCTCAGTTTTACTGACAAGTAGTATAGGATTTTTTAGAAGGGAAAAAAACTTTTGAATAAATCCCTTTTTTTTTTTAAGTAAAGAGCTTGGGAAACAAAACTTTATTCTCTGTTTCCTCTATCATTGTGAATATTTATTGCAGGGGCATAACAGAAAACATTCAATTGGAAGCCAGGACTAGTTTCGTAGTTTATCCCAATATTAACCATTTAACCTCTCAAGGAGGCTTGCATTGGCTTATCTATAGTATTACTAGTTTGGATAAGACCAGTGTTTCTCAAATGTGAATCTGAGTGAGGTAGCAGAACATCTGAAGATAAGGAGGTAAGATAATATAATCGGGGCAGGGATGAGGGGAAGGTGACAAGTTCAAATTGCATACATGGCCTCTTCCCCAGAAAGAGAAATTCCTATACATGCCCCTGTGTATAGGTCAGCACCCCCATCTCTCTCTCTCTCTCTCTCTCTCTCTCTCTCTCTCTCTCTCTCTCTCTCTCTCTCACACACACACACACACACACACACACACACACACACACACACACAGAACTGACACTGGGAATCACTACCATAGTATATATGAACCACTCTTACCAAAGCCACTCTTATATGTGTGTCACCAACCCCTCACATGTATAAAAGTGGATGAGAGGCTCACTAAAGTTTATTCCAACTCTGAAATACTGCTTTTACAAAGCTATATACATTAACAGCCTAGAGTGGCAATTAAGACTTATCAACAGCCCTCATCTACTAAGCTTTTAAAATTATTTCTACAATGACATTTTCCCCTCTATACCATGGGAATTTTTTAATTTTAGCAATCTCTAATAACTCATTTCCACCCTTTAGTTTGTTGCTTCTGATCAGGGTGCAAGGAAACCAGATCATCAAGCTTGTCAGAACTATATTTAGAATATAAAAATAAACAGGTCTGAAGTTCTTCAATGGAAGGACTGTCAAAGGCTTTTCTACTTCCTCCTGAGTCACCATCTATATTTCTATAGTTAAAGTTGTTGCGTAATGATCACTGAATAAGGTAGCAACTTATTTTGGTTTATTCACTGACTAACTTTTTTCAAAGGTTTTCAAAAACGGAAAACCACTTAAGAATTTTGTCTTAATTCAACAAATGCTTTTTGAGCATCTGCTATATCTTTTCGGGACTCAGTTAGACATTAGAGATTATGTGTGAACAAGATGCCATGATCAAGGATGATTCAACCCAGGAAAGCAAGTTTAAGTTACTATTTAGAAATCCATCATTGTCACTCACCATAATGACAAATTAAATGTGAAAAAGCACTAGATCACCTTAATAGATGCTGAAAAAGCATCTGACATAGCTCTAAGCAGATCTGGAATAGAAGGTCCTCAACCTGGTAAAGGCATCTAAAAAAACGACCAGCTAACATCAGACCTGAAGGTGAAAGACTAGGAACAAGAGAAGGATGTCTGTCCACTGTCACCTCTTCTATTCAACAATGCAATGAAGCAAAAAGAAAAAGAAATAAAAGGCATTTCGAAAATGAACAGTCTGTTAATTTAAGAAAACCTAAAATACTTGTTCCTATTTGATACCAACAATAAAGTTCACGCTTTCAAGTAAAACTTAGAATTTTGCAAAATTTATATCTGCCAGGATGAACCTGAAAGCTTCTGCAATACTTAAAGAAACAAACAAACCCTTTCTGATAAAACTGTGATGATACTATTATAATTTAAATTTCGTAATGAAATGTGTCATTATTTGAAATAACTTAGTGAACCAGTATTTTCCAAATCACCAATGTATATATTTACAAAATCATGCACAAGTAATTGATTAAAAGTATGAACAGGAAACAGAAAAATTTTAGTTCTGAATGAGCAAAACAGGAAAAAATTTTTTTATATGGTTTCTAACTCTACATTGCAACTGACCTTTAAGAAACAATCCCCTGCCCTAACAATTTGTACAGTGGTTAGAACAGCAGCCCAAGGACAGAAGGGTCATGGGTTTGATTCCCAGGCTAGAGCATGTGCCTCAGCTGCATGCTCCATCCCACACAGGGCACATGTGGGAAGCAACCAATCCATGTGTCTCTCTCACACCTCTCTCTTCTCTCTTCTCTCTCCTCTCTCTCTCTCTCTCTCTCTCTCTCTCCCTCCCTCCCTCCCTCCCTCCCCTCTCCTTCCTCCTTTCCACTCTGTATAAAAAATCAATGGAAGCCCAGCCGATGTGGCTCAGTGATTGAGCGTGAACCCATGAACCAGGAGGTCATGGTTTGACTCCCCATCAAGGCACAAGCCTGGGTTGCAGGCTCAATTGCCAGTAGGGGGCATACAGGAGGCAGCTGGTTGATGAAATTTATCATTGATGTTTCTATCTCTCTCTCCCTCTTCCTTTCCCTCTCTGAAATCAATAAAAAACATATTTTTAAAAAATAAATAAAAGCCAATGAAAAAACATTCTCAGGTGATTAAAACAAGAAAAACAATCACCTGTGAAGTTTTGGTAGAGTATCAAAAGGATATTAATAATTTAAAAGTTAATGTATTAATCAAGGTTTACAAAGTTTTGAGTTAAAACCTTGTTGACAAGAATATGAACTGGTATATTTTTGGAGGAACTTGCCTTTCCCTTTTCAAAATAAGCAAAAGCATGCATACAGTGATGTTGAAGCTGCACTGCTTGTAACAGTAAAAAACAACAACAGGAAACTACCTAAACATCCACCAACCCTGGACTAATTAGGCAAAATATGTCATACCCATTTTGGAAGCAAAAGTGATTTCTACTTTCTCTTTTATATTTCTTAAACTTTTCCAAATTGTTCTGAAACACATGCACTACCTTTATAATCAGGAATAAAATGCACATTTTAAAAATTCTTTTGGGCCGAAACCGGTTTGGCTCAGTGGATAGAGCGTCGGCCTGCGGACTCAAAAGTCCCAGGTCCGATTCCGGTCAAGGGCATGTACCTGGGTTGCGGGCACATCCCCAGTAGGAGATGTGCAGAAGGCAGCTGATCGATGTTTCTCTCTCATCGATGTTTCTAACTCTCTATCTCTCTCCCTTCCTCTCTGTAATAAATATATTAAAAAAAAAATTCTTTTGGGACCACAAAGAAAAACTTGAATTGGAAGAAGATTTAGACCACATTTATTTAATCCATACATTAACTGTAACTGAACTAGTATTTCTCAAATACTCTCCCTAATATTCAAAGTTATATAGTCTTACCTCTACTCTGAACTATTAACTTCATTTTGGAGTTCTAAGGAATAAAGCAAAGTATACTATTCAGACTATAATGTAAATCTAGCTTCTTCTCCCTTCCCACCATAACTTCCTAATAGGAGGAATAAATAGATCCATGCTAAGGCCCACATTTACTCTGCCTCACTTGGTTTGAACACTTCTACGGTTGCATTTCAAAAAATTTCTACCCTAGTTCTGCCATCTAAGTTGTTAAACTTTGGTTTTTATCCAACCATAAGTCTCCTCTTTTCAAACTATCTCTGAAGCATGACCCAAATTCATAATTATTCCCACAGAATTTCTCATAGCCAAGGGAAGGTACGCATAAGTAAGTCTTTTCTGCTATACTTCAAGTAAGCCAGCTCACTGCTGGGAGGAGAATGTGTACCTAACATGTACATTCAAACAAGTGATATGCATACCATACCTTTGAGTTTCTAAAATAACACCATGAAAAAGGTCAGCAAAGGGAGAAAAATGAGCTACTTCAATTTTCTCCAAAATTTTCTTTCTTTAATGGTTTCAAAGTGTCTCAGAATTACGTATCGCTACATTATCCAAAATGACTAAGTCCCATAAATAGCATTATATTTCAGTGAGTAAATTTAAACAGACATTGAGACTCCAATATGAATGAAAATACCTCAGCTTTATCATGCAATGTGAT